TGGATGAGTTGTTTGCATGATACGGTGTATAAGGGAACCCGCCACAGAATTTAGGGTTCGGGGCTTAGGGTTTAGGGGTTTAGGGACTTAGGGCCTTGGCTACGGGAACCTCACCAGGGGGAGCTATTCCGGGAACTATCCCAAGAGCTAACTCCCTATCACTCCTTGAGGTAACAAATCTTGCGCACATACTGTTCCAGGTCCAACCCTTAAACCCTTTACTCCCCTTAGCTTTGGAGTAGACCCTGGAAAAAAAGTATATACTTTTTAGGTAATAAGTAGCAACAATAGGAACCCAGAACAAAAAAAAGTATTAAAGTATAGTACTCCAAAGCCCAGTCCCTGAAAGAGGACCAACCATGACTGGGGGTCCAGTGCAGGAATACCAGCCCTAAGGCAACAACCCAACCGCGGGTTCTAAACCCAACACCCCAAAGCCCCAGCTTTGCAGGCACTACTTTTGTTCCTTTACAGATGGTTTCCGTGCTCATCCTTGAGCCATAGTAACAGTGACGTGCGTTACGTCCCTTCCAACAAGCCCTTCTACATCTCAGCATAAGGGTTTGGGGCTCCGGGTCAGGATTTAGGGTTCAGGATACGGGGTTTAGGGCTTAGTGCTTCCAACCCCTAAAGAACCGGATAGTACCCTTGGCATCCTCACAGGATCTGCTTGGTGTTTAGGGCTTCCTCAAAAGCTGCGCCACACTGGGACCTGGGACCAGATGCTTCAAACACGTGGTAAAAGTGCAAGAAAACGGCGCAATACCCTACATACCTGCAGGGCTTACAAAGCGCGCCCTGGCTGCGTTTGTGCATGAAACCCGTGCATACACCAGCATGCTTCCAGGGCCGGGAGCTGGCCTCATGATGCAACGGCTTACGCCACCTCGTGTTCACATGCAGTGGGTGTTGAAACCGAAAGCGTCCCCGCCTCACAGAGTGCCTGATGCGCTTACGCCCCCCCTTCCTAGGGCCCTTCTAGGTATTTGACGTTTTGGTGTGAACCCGGTTTAGGGTTTAGGGTTTAGGGTTTAGGGCTTAGGGTTTAGGGTTTAGGGTTTAGGGTTTAGGGTTTAGGGTTTAGGGTTCAGGGTTCAGGGTTCAGGGTTCAGGGTTTAGGGTTTAGGGCTTAGGGGTTTTTAGGGTTTAGGGTTTAGGGTTTAGGGTTTAGGGTTTAGGGTTTAGGGTTTAGGGTTTAGGGTTTAGGGTTTAGGGTTTAGGGTTTAGGGTTTAGGGTTTAGGGTTTAGGGTATCCGCTTTAATCCGTGCAGGAAGCCCACGACCATGTGGTTTTAGGCTTTCGGGCGCAGTGGCCGGAGGAATGTTAAAAGGTAAACCCCGTGACCACAAGCTGTTGGTTGTGGCGGCCTATGTAAGTAGAATAGGTCCTTTGAACAGTATCCTAAACCCTAAACCCTAAACCCGCTCTGTGTGCTGCGGCCTACTACAGTTCTGCGAACCCAGCCCCCACTCCCCCTCCACCAAACCCTAAACCCTAAACCCTAAACCCTAAACCCTAAACCCTAAACCCTAACCCCTAACCCTAAACCCTAAACCCTAAACCCGAAACCCCAGACCAACCTTAAACCCAGCTTCAAACTTGTGTGTGGCCCGACCCTGGCGGGTGCTCCCATTGGTGTCTCATGGCAGCGGCAGGTTGGCATCTGTTTAGGGGGTTTAGGGTTTAGGGTTTAGGGTTTAGGGTTGGCGGTTTAGGGTTCAGGGTTCAGGGTTTAGGGTTTAGGGTTTAGGCTTTAGGCTTTAGGCTTGAGGGTTTAGGGTTCAGGGTTTAGGGTTTAGGGGTATCCCCTGTAGGCTAAAGTACCTGATTGACCTTCACGATGGGCCTCACAGCAACAAATCTATCTCAGGTTATCTCAGGCATGCTCAATACTAAATTACAAGCCGTCACCCCAATAAAAAAGCCTGCGGAGCCCAACAGTAAGATGTGCAAGCAGGCTCCTACGGCAACATGTGCAAGGAGGGGTCTTCGGGCCTCAGAGCTGTTGGATTCTTGGGCTGAGGGTTTTGGGTTCAGGTTTAAGCGAGGCCGCCGAGCAGATGCCATTCGGACAATCCCTTGCGGGTATTGGAATTGGATGGCTTTCGGCGCTAGGCAGTCCCATCCCAAGCAAACATGCTTAAAATGGTGAAGCCATGGGATGAGGGTCGGAGACCCCTGACCCTGTAAGATAAGCCATACGCCCACCCCAAAAGCAGCCCTTAGAAGCCCCGCTGGTGGCCCCCGTTCTTAGTCGAGAGCTTGGAAATTTCCCTGAACCCTAACCCTAAACCCAACCCCTCAGCCCTAAGCCCTAAGCCCTAAGCCCTAAGCCCTAAGCCCTAAGCCCTAAGCCCTCAGCCCTCAGCCCTACGCCCTAAGCCCTAAGCCCTAAGCCCTAAGCCCTAAGCCCTAAGCCCTAAGCCCTAGCCCTTATGGGGGATACAAGGCACGAAGTGCCCTGAAGAGAAGCGCCATGCCGAAAAGTCGAAGCCCAAAGGCTTAATAAAAAAAAAACGAGTGGAGGGCCGAGCTTTTGGTTCAAGGTTTATTGGCTTTTGGTCCTACTTACCACCAACCTTTAAACCCTAAACACTAAAAACTAAACCCTAAACCCTCCAAACGCTAAGCCCTCCAAACCCTAAACCCTAAACCCTAAACCCTAAACCCTAAACCCTAAACCCTAAACCCTAAACCCTAAACCCTAAACCCTAAACCCTAAACCCTAAACCCTGCCCCTTCCGACCTGGAGCTTCCTGCACACTTATTGGGCGTTAGGGTTTCGGGGTTCAGGGTTTGAGGTGAAGCTTTTTGGGGGGGTTTCAGGTTTAGGGTTTAGGGTTCAGGGTTCAGGGTTCAGGGTTTAGGGTTTAGGGTTTAGGGTTCAGGGTTCAGGGTTTAGGGTTTAGGGTTTAGGGTTTAGGGTTTAGGGTTTAGGGTTTCGGGTTCAGGGTTTAGCTGAGACTGCCCTGCGACGTCCTACAAGGTGCAAGATGCAGTCAACTTCGGAGGCATCCTGCTGCGAAGCGGACGGGCCATTCTCTTTGGTTCCGTAGTACCCGAAACCCCATAAACCCCTTGACCCAAAACCCTCAACCCTAGATCCTAGAAACCCTATAAACACTAAACCCTAATCCCTGATCATGGTCGATTCAAGGGGACCTGTCCGTAAGATAAACTCTGACACTGGGGCCCATCATATTGGCCACCCGGCCTGGCTCAATCGCGGCTGCGGCGTCCTCCCTGACCTCGGCTTACACCCAAAAAGCCCTTGTAGGTTTAGGGTTTAGGGTTTTAGGGCTTAGGGTTTGGGGTTTAGGGTTTAGGGTTTAGGGTGTAGGGTCTAGGGTCCAGGGTTTAGGGTTAGGGTTTAGGGTTTAGGGTTTAGGGTTTAGGGTTTAGGGTTTAGGGTTTAGGGTTTTTAGGGTTTTTAGGGTTTATAGGGTTTATAGGGTTTATAGGGTTTATAGGGTTTATAGGGTTTATAGGGTTTATAGGGTTTATAGGGTTTTTAGGGTTTAGGGTTTAGGGTTTAGGGTTTAGTTCAGGTCGACCCTTCGAGTCGCGAAATACCCGAAGGACCCCCCCCTAACTGCTCTAAGCCCCCCTAAGGTGGCAACACATCAGAATAAACTCTAAAAGAAATCATAATCAATAACAGTATCTAACCACTAATACTACGATACAGCAGTCAATAATATCATATAAGGTTGGTCACCATTGATTAGGCGGATGGTTTAGGCTGAGGGATTCACTGCGGAGTTACTGGTGGCCTCAGGATAGTCTTCCTGTTCTGCAAAGATGCCGACAACCCTAACCCCCGCAAACCCTTCTTTCAACGGTGCACGTCTCCGACTTAACCAGGCGCACATCCCGAAACTCCCACACCTATAGACCCACCCGACAACCTCGCACGACATTCCGGGGTTTGGGTTTAGGGTTTCGGGGTTAGGGTTTAGGGTTTCGGGTTTTGGGTGCCGGGGACCCGGCCGAATCCGCATTGCCCGCCTTGCATGGCAGCGGCTTTCCTGTTGGATGTGGTAGTGACATGACCACTGCTCTGAGGTTCCATCCCTGCAACTCTAAAAAAAATATGGGGGTTTCCCAAAATAGGGGTGCCCTTTTTGGGAGGTTCCCATAACAAGGATTTGAGTGTTTTTGGGGTATTTGAGGGTACCCTATTTTGGGATACACGCGTATGGGCTTGGGGTCGATGGATTCTGCTAGAACATTTGAAAAGGTGTGGACCTTGAAAACATGCTTGCCGCTTGTTGGCATTTGCGTGTTGGGAGCCTGTTCGAGGGTGCTGAAATGTTCCTGGAAGCGTGCCATTGTCAAACGTCGCGCATCTGCGACAACCTCTTCACTACAGCACACCACGTTTTGCCGTGCATTTTTGTGCAGTGCTCAGATCAAGTAGCCCTGACCCCCAAACATCCCCAAACCCTAAACCCTAAACCTCCTGGATGTGTACATGGGCTTGATCATTCGGGGTTCCTACTGCAATACGGACAAAACATTCAGGGTGCTCAAAAAGGGCCATCATTTACAACTTACAGAAATGCCACAAACATTGAGTTGGTGCATTCATTATGTACTCGTATAAAGAAAACAACGACCTTGTGTGTTTTACTGGACTGGTGATCTATGCATGGTGCTAAGTAAAGTTGCATGCTGTGGTGGTACATCAGAGCAGGCCGTATCCCACATGTATGCTGTGGTTGCCTATGGCCTGCGGAGAGGGTGCCACAAAACAAGCGGCAGAACAACTGCACAATCATGTATACACTACGTACAGAGGATAGTGCACCCGCCCCCGCAGTAGAGCAGGATTGGGCCATGGCAAAGTATGGCATCGAAGCACTACCATGACCTTAGGTTTAACAGGGAAGGCCCTGTATAGGGGCAACTACTCAGGGTTTAGGGCTCTACTCTGAGCTAAGGACCCAAACCCTAAGCCCTGAACCCATGGTGTTGCAGACGAGCTTCTTGGCCCTCTTCATCTCGAGAGCCACACGGTTTCGCCTGTGACACGAAATCGGGTTAGTTTCGGGCTTGAAGACCCAAAGCCCGCAAGCCCCAAGCCCCAAACCCTACTCAAAACCCAAAGCCTTGAATCGAAACCCTATAAAACCCTAAACGGTTTAGGGTTTAGGGTTTGGGGTTTAGGGTTTAGGGTTTAGGGTTCAGGGTTCAGGGTTCCCAAAAGCCACGCCACAGCGGGGGGTATGGGGGGAAAGGGGGAAAGGGGGGAGCCTACACCCCAAGACCCTAAAACCTGAACTGAAACCTCCTAAAACCAACCCACAACCGCACCGCGGAGGGGGGGGGGAGAGGGGGACCCAGAAGCATCGGGAGCCCAGAGCGCCTGATCATGTAGAGGGTCTACCTTCAGAACCGCGAAAATTTAACTTGTTTAGGTTGTGACTGTAAGACACCTGAGAGAACGCCGAGGTAACCTAGTACAAGACATTGGCATTGAGGTTCCTAACGCAGGGTTTAGGGGTTGTAGTTTAGGGCTGCAGGCAGCTGAGAAACCGACACCCCAAAAACTGCACACCAAGTCTAACCCCTAACCCCTAAAGTCTCGTTACCCAGAGCCTTTCGGAGGCGAGCCCTCTGCATGGGGGTGCGAGACCACCCCCACGAACGCTACCGTCCCCATAGTCCGAGGAGCACGAACTAAGCAATCAAATTCGAACAGCCCGAAATGCAGACTTCTTGCCCGAGACCCCACTACTCGTCATTCGTGCGCACTGCTAGGGGGATGTAGATCCCCAGTTCAAGTCCTAAATCCTAACCCTTCCCCCGGCACCCCTCAACAAGAAACATTTACATCCCAACATCCCATGAGCACATGCCTGCGACGGACCTCCGAGGGCGCGCAGACCTGGGCCAGAGACTTGAGAACAACCCTCAGGGCTTACATAGAGTCTTGACACTCCCAGCCGCAGAACCTGGTGGAGGCCTATGAGCTCTCTAAGCCCCTAAACCCTAAACCCTGAAAAATTGCCCTTTAACATTACCGAGAGAGCACACCGAGGTCGGCCCGCCGCCCACATGCACCATGCTGCTGCACCGTTTGTCTACCCGGTGTGCACAAGTCTCCCGGAACGCTTCTGCAAGCTCAGTTTGTTGGTGTCACAAGTTAATATTCCCTAAGTTTTTCTAGGGGGAGTGCTTGTTTTGGGGGGGGTATTAGGGCAACCGCAGTCTGAGGCCCCCTTTGTCTATTGCTGGTCGCAAAAACCCAAGTACCGAGCTCTCTAAGGCCCAGCTAAGCGCCAGAGCCCATCCAAGAAGCTATGCCCGTCCGACTCCGCCCTAAACCCTAAACCCTAAACCCTTTAGTATACCTTTTGGGGTAGGGGGATAAGGATGCTCCAACTTTCTGGAGTTTCCTGTAAGGGCCTGGGCTTCAGACCTGGGTTTCCTTCTTGACAGACGGTCCAAGATATGTTTGGGGGGAGTTTCCCGTAGTAACCGGGTGCACCATTGGCTATGACTGCATTCAAAAATACTGTCTCTACTTAACCCCAGAAACCTCAGATCCCCCAAGCCCTCAGCCTTGATTCCTGGATATAGGGCTCCAGAGGGCAGGTCCGAAGCATGGTAGCCCAGTAGCCATATTATGATAAGGGCTTTATTTTATAAAGGAAACCATACACAAAAAAAAGAAGGGTAAAGGGCACCACTGGGTACCAAGGCAGAAGCACCTAAGATTCTGAACATTGGGCGGGGGTTCAGGGTGCTTAGGTGCAGGGCTTCCGGGGCTTCTGGAGCTTCTGAAAGCTTCGGTCGTTGAACCCTCAACCCTAAACCCTAAGCCCTAAACCCGAAACCCGAAACCCTAAACCCTAAACCGTGGACCTTCCCGATCATCTTGTTGACCTTGAGATGGAGAGCTTCAGACTCAAGAGCCGATACGCGAACACCGAAACCCGCAAGGAGCACCAGCCAAGGCCCAAAAGCCCTAAACCCTGAACCCCTAAACCCCTAAACCCCTAAACCCCTAAACCCCTCAACCCCTCAACCCCTAAACCCCTAAACCCCTAAACCCCTAAAACCCTAAAACCCTAAACCCTAAACCCTAAACCCCTAAACCCAAAAACCCGAAGCATGGGTCCTACCAGTATCTCTACTGCCCGAGTGGCATGGCAATGAGTGCAGTCATCACCCATCCTCGAAATGGCTTGGGGCTTGAAGGAGGTGTTCTTGTGTTGGGTTGTGGGCTTTGGTCTACAAACTCTAAACACCTTGACGGATAAAACCGGGGCCTAATTGGTTCTTGGAGAGGGGCAGGGAGCGATTTCGTCACCCTCAACCCTAAAACCCTAAACCCTCAACCCTAACCCCTAAACCCTAAACCCTAAACCCTAAACCCTAAACCCTAAGCCCTAAGCCCTAAACCCTAAACCCTAAGCCCTACCACCTCAGCTTCATCCTCAAACCCTGAGCCACACATCCTCACAAGAAACAAGTGTTCCGCCCCGTCCCTCCGAAAGCCCTAAACCCCATACAGCCTGAGGGCTTAGGGTTTGGGGCTCAGGGCTTAGGGTTTTGGGTTTCAGGTTTAGGGTTTTGGGTTTTGGGTTTTGGGTTCAAGGTTTAAGGTTTCAGGTTTAAGGCTTCAGGTTTAAGGTTGAAGGCTTAAGGTTTAGTAAGGGAGGTTCGACATGCACCAGACCCATCTCAGAGAGGAGGAATCCCCGGGTTACGGCAGCTTGCAGGACAGTGGAGGGGAGCAAGAGGCTCAGGGCAAACCTAAACCCTCAACCGCCTACACCGTTTAGGGTTAAGAAATTTAGGGTTTATGTAGGGTTTGGGGTTTAGGGTTTAGGGTTTAGGGTTTAGGGTTTAGGGTTTAGGGTTTAGGGTTTAGGGTTTAGGGTTTAGGGTTTAGGGTTTAGGGTTTAGGGTTTAGGGTTTAGGGTTCTAAAGTTGGCTGGAGAACCCCAAACACTGAACCAAGCCAGAGGCACCTGCAGCCGTTGCCTGCAGCCGGCATGGAGAGCATTTGGGGGAGGGTTGGGGTTTAGGGTTTAGGATTTAGGGTTTAGGGTTTAGGATTTAGGGTTTAGGGTTTAGGATTTGGGGTTTAGGGCTTAGTAGGATTTCGGGTTTAGGGTTGAGGGCTTAGGGTTGAGGGCTTCGGGTTTTAGGGCGAAGGGGGAGAAATGTAAGAGTGTGCGCTGGTCCCTGGAGCTGCTCCTCAAAAGGCACAGCTTAGGACCAGCAAAGAGCTGAAATCTGGAGTGCAGGATTAAAGGCGATTGCGTCGCCCTAAACCTCAAACCAAGCGCTGTTGAGCTTCAGCACCTGAACTCAAAACGCATCTGAAGGCGCCTAAACCGTACACCCTAAGCCCTAAGCCCTAAATCCTTATACCTTTGAACCCTTAAACCCTGAAACCCTTAAACCCTTAAACCCTGAAACCCTGAAACCCTTAAGCCCTCAAGCCCTTAAGCCTTAAACCCTTAAACCCTTAAACCCTTAAACCCTTAAGCCCTTAAACCCTTAAACCCTTAAGCCCTTAAACCCCCCAAAACCCTTAAACCCTGAAACCCTTAAACCCTTAAACCCCCCAAAACCCTTAAACCCTGAAACCCTTAAACCCTTAGACCCCTAAACCCTTAAACCCTGAAACCCTTAGACCCTTGAACCCTTAAACCCTTAAACCCTTGAACCCTTAAACCCTGAAACCCTTAACCCCATCCCCAGAGAGCACCCACTGGAGATCCCAGCCCACAGTGAATCCCAGGTGCTATACTAGACCCTTCAGTTCGAGCTTCCGGGTTTAGGGCTTAGGGCTTAGGGCTTAGGGCTTAGGGCTTAAGGCTTAGGGCTTAGAGCTTAGGGCTTAGGGCTTAGGGCTTAGGGGCTTAGGCTTTGGGCTTAGGGCTTAGGGCTTAGGGCTTAGGGCTTAGGGCTTAGGGCTTAGGGCTTAGGGCTTAGGGCTTAGGGCTTAGGGCTTAGGGCTTAGGGCTTAGGGCTTAGGCTTAGGGCTTAGGGCTTAGGGCTTAGGGCTTAGGGCTTAGTTAGGGCTTAGGGCTTAGGGCTAGGGGGAGGGGTTAGGGCTTAGGGCTTAGGGCTTAGGGCTTCTAGGGTTTTTAGGGTTTAGGGTTCAGGTTTTTAGGGTTTAGGCTTAGGGTTTAGGGTTCAGTGGTTAGGGTTTCAGGTTCATGGTTTTAGGGTTTAAGGGCTTATGGTTTAGAAGGGGCTTAGGGTTTAGGGTTTAGGGTTTAGGGGTTAGGGTTTAGGGGTTTTAGGGTTTAGGGTTTAGGGGGTTTAGGGTTTCTTAGTCCCTAAGGTTGAGGGCTGAGGGATAAGGGGCTGAAAGCTTAGGGTTTAGGGCTTGGGCCTAGGGGGCCCAACAAAAAGGTTTAGGGTTTAGGGTTAGGGTTTAGGGTTTAGGGTTTAGGGTTTAGGGTGGGTTTAGGGGTTAGGGTTTAGGGTTTAGGTTTAGGGTTTAGGGTTAGGGTTTAGGGTTTAGGGTTTAGGGTTTAGGGTTTAGGGTTTTGGAACTTAGGGGAGTTCTTCTCAAAGTGCTCCAGTCCACACTCCTGCCGAAGCTGCGCGTGAAGAAGAGGCAGGGGTAGCAGCGCCCTTCGACTGTTCTTGGACCATGCGCCTCGATTGACTTCCACGGGGTTTCGGCTTTCTGAAAAATGTAATCGGGCCCCCCCCCCCCCCCCCCCGAACCGAACTATCTCCAGGCAAGCCGCGCAGGAAACGGCCAAGAGGACCTGGGAAACTTCTTGGCTTCAAAGTTAACCCCTAAACCCTACACCCTAAACCCTAAACCCTGCTGAACTGGCATTCAAAAACATCACTCGCACTCGCAAGCGATCTACTAGAGACTGCTACCAGCTGGGGCTTAGAGTTTCCGGCCTTCGGTGTCTGGGGTCTCGGCCTTTTGGGGTAGAACTGCAAGGGGAGGCATCTCATCGAAACTAGTACCGGGGTCGGAGAAATTGCCACTAATATTCCCTTCTGGCCCCTTGGTAATCATATTATACTCCAACTCTTCAAGCCCCCTATGTTACACCCTCACCTCCCGATACTACTATTCCCTTCTGGTCTCTTCGTAATTATACTACAATAACCCCCAAAACCCTATTCTAGCCTCGGATGGCCCTTAAAGCCCTCTGAAAAATATTCCTAAATATGGTCCTCTTAAGCCCAATGAGGGAAAATAAAAAAATCTTGAGGGCCTACCTAGTAGCTATTCAGGCCCCTTTGTTTGCACCCTCACCTCCCTTCCGCGAATTTCTCACTTCCAAGGAACGGATCAGGACGCTGGGCCGGGGCCGCGGGAACGGGCACCTGGCGGGTTTAGGGTTTAGGGTTTAGGGTTTAGGGTTGAGGGTTGAGGGTTGGGGGTTGAGGGTTGAGGGTTGAGGGCTTAGGGTTTAGGGCTTAGGGTCCCCTAAGCCCTAAACCCGAAACCCCAAACCCCTAACCCTAAGTCTCTCATAAACCTCCGCACCCGGAGGCACAGTCGGCCTAGTCTGAGCCCTCAACCCTACGGGTTTAGGGTTCAGGGCTCAGGTGTTGAGGACCCCTGCTTGCTGGTCCGTGAGTCTACTCCTACAAGCCCGAACACTTTAAGGCCACGAAAGACCAAGGGTTAAAGGGCTAAACCCTAAACCCTAAACCCTAAACCCTAAAGCTCAAGGTGGTAAATTCGTCCAGAACGCCCTTCGCTTACCCCAAACCCGACAGGAAAGGATTTGGAGCCGAATCCCGTGTGATTCTTTGGGGTTTAGGGTTTAGAATTTAGGGTTTAGGGTTTAGGGTGCTTAGGGCTCAGGATGCGGGCACATCATCGAACGATACGGCCCCTCAACACTGAAAATTATTGTTACCAGCGGAAAGCCCTAAACTCAACAAGTACAGTGCAACGCACTTTTTGTCTTGAGCCAACGAAGTAGCGTAAGTATGGTAATACAGCTGATATCTTGAAGTATCGACACCCCCCGCGCATCTTAGAGCAACGGAGAGGCGACACATCAGCTGTTCGCGACGCTACTTTGATTCAAATAAGTGATCTTGACACCATTGACCAACAACTCGCTGCCAAACGACCCGGCAGGGTGTTGGTGCTTGCCCCACAGAGCTCAGCTCCGCGGCCCTGAAAGAAATGCTGACTAAGGTGGAAAAGGCAGCCAGCCCGTCAGAGCGGCGAAAACCAAGCCGTCAGGCTGATGTGATGCAAAAGGAAGGAAACTAGTAATCGCGCTTCCAAGCATCGGTGGCATAGTCCCATCGCCAGTTGTGCCAGCCACGAAGATAGGACTTCACGTGGTCGGGGCCCATGATCTGGAACGTGTTCGTGGAGCCGTGGACAGGGATCGCATAAAGCGCATTGTCCACTGACATGCCAGGAATGTCCAGGGCACGCATCACTGCCCACATGTAGCCCACCCAAGTTGGCCAATTAACATCCCGGTCACGGGTGTGATCAATGTCGGTGCCATTGACCACCTGACCCCAGGATACGACCCTGTCGAGCGTCTCGTAGATGGTCTGCATCCCACGATTCATGGCAACCTGCTCTCTCGTCGGAGGAGTGGCAGGCTCGACTACCATCGGTCGTGGGGCAGCCTCTGCGTCGATCGGCGCAGGGGCCGCCGCTTCCGCGGGGCGGGACAAACCCGGTGGGGCCGTCGCTTCCGCGTGGCGAGATTGGCCAGGGGATACGACCCTCTGTCTGGCAGTAGGGCGTTCCTCTGCGAATGGCCGGTTGTTTGCCATCGCGTCCCAGTCCGCGTCCGAGATGTAGGAACTCGGGAGCTGTGGAGGTCGCGGCTTGGACTTGACAGCAGTGCTTGGCGGCCGGGCGGCTGGTGATGAGGACCTTGTCAATGGTGCCGGCGGAGGTGGCCTCTTCGATGTCAACTGCATCACGGGGGGCGCCTTGACCTGCAGCGGTGCGCTTGGAGGAGGAGGCATTGCGTCAGCCGGGGGTGACTTCCACGGTGACTGCCTATCCCTCGACCTGCTCTCTGCGAGGCGACCCTCCCAGGTGCCGGGAGTGTTGGACCTTCCTCTGGAGGTTTGCGGCTGTTGCGCCCATGGCGGCGTGCGATCACTGGGCGCTGACGATGCTCTGTCTCTCCTCAGTCGATCAACCCGATCTTGAATCGTGGACCTGATGTTGCGTGTCCTGAAGCGGGTGAACTGGAGAAGCTGTGCCAGCTGACGATCTCCCAGAGAACTGAACCCTTCCGGGACGTGGATATCCTGCGTCATCTGCAGCGGTGGGGCAACTTCGCCCATTCTCGCTGAGTGAGGAAGGTCACGCCGGATGAGGTTGATGAGTTCCCCGAGGATACCGGCCATAGTCCTTCCGTTCGGATACCACTTTTCACCGGGGGTATTTGTCATCAAGAAGAATCTGTCGTCCGTCGTCCTGTACACAGCGAACATGATGACGGCCATCTCAAGCACGGTGTAAAACCGGTCCTGGAAAGAGATGAAACAATCCGTCAGGATGTCGACAAACTCATCGTCGCTGCTCCAAATGTAGGCGAGCCGCCCGTCGACGTTGTGGTAGGCGTCGGTGCCTTCGGCAAACTTGCCTCCTGCCATCCCAGGGTTCGGGAGCCGAATGTCGGCGAACCTCGTAATCTGATTGAGGCTCGTGAAGCTGAAACCCTGTGAGATCCAGTTGAAGGCATCCATGGGCGACTCCGCCAGGATCGCGCCGAGGGTGATATCACCTCCTGTGCGCTCCTTGGCACGACTGAGCGACTTGTTGATCTTCGCCTTCAAGGTTGCTCCTGAGCTGGACTTGCGTCGATCCACGGTTGTGTCATCGATGCGGCGAGGATTCCGATGATCTCGATTGGAGTTCAGGCCAATGGAAGGCTGAAACTCAAAGATGTTCATCGGCCTACCCCTCCGGGCGGCGTCATCGCGGGCCTCAAAGGGCTGCGCCATTTTCGCCAGGTCCGTGGGCAAGGTCAACCGCTCTTCACATTTGAGACACTTTGTGAGTCCGTCGATCAAGTCATTGCAGTCGCAGAAAGGACAGTTGAAGTTGGGGAACGCAACGCACTGTTGGTGCCTGAAGAACCTTGGGTCTCCTCGAAGCTTTCGATCCACCGTAAGTGCAGTCTGCGTGGGCAACACAAGTGCCCGCATGCCCCAACAGGCATTGTGAAGCGTAGGGTGAAGAGGATGCCCTTCCGGGATCCGAACCGGCTGACCACCATAGTCCCACTGTGGTTCATAGTGGAGCTGGAACGGAGTGTAGGCATCGGCTGCGAGAGGGGCCCACTCAGTGAAGTTTTCCTCTGGGGGAAGCTTCAGGTAGTCCAGGAAGCAAGTGGCCGCACCATCCGTCAGGCAACGGTAGGGATCGTTGTCAAAGACGGGCAACACATTCCTGTGCGCGGTGAACTCCTTCACGGCCTTGTCGATGCGAAGTCGAGCATGCTCGTACGCCCTGTTGATCCAGATCGGCTCATTCGAAGATCTCCGATAGGCGTAGACAAGGTAGCGATTGGACAACCAATCTGGGGTCTGCACCGCGCCAGCGGCCGTCTCAAAGATCCGAACCCCGTCCAACGCAGCCATTTGGAGGTCGATCACGAACTCGATCTCGGCATCAGGCCTCACGCCCTCCATGCAGTCACGTTCCCATGCTGGTTTCGGTGACATCATGGCGTAAAATCTGCGACGACTCCCGTCTCGCGACATTCCTCCTGGGATGATACCGCTCTCGACGATGCTCCTGAAGTGGCGGAAGTAGGTGGAATGATACCCCATCTTTGGCATCGTATGGAAAGTGCTGTGCGTGAAGCCAGCCTCTCCAACAGGAGGGAATTCGCGGAGACTGGGTTTCCACCCGTCGACCAGATGGAAGGATCTGCGATTCACAAGCATGGGGTCAGAGTTCTCGGTCATGAGCGCCCCGCTGTGGCCTTGGATTGCGCGGCATCGCAAAATCCTCCCTCCCGGGTGGATGAGAAACTCGAAGCGTTCCTTCTCAGACGACTCGCATACCTGGAAGATCTGCTCCATACGGAGCCCGTTCCAAATCTGCCCCAACGCCTCGAAGAAAGCCGGGAAAGACGTTGTTCCATTCCCATCAAACTCAAGATGGGGTGCGTGGGCGCACTTTTTGGAGAAGCCGCGGAGCAGCCAAGTCATCTTTCGGCTCAATGTCTCGAGGGCATTGGGAGAGAGGTGGCGCCTGATCTGAATGACCGGCATCTCGCTACCGACGCACCAATATGCTGCTGACTCGTCGATGGTAGGACCATCCCTTCCGGGAGGTGCACGCGCGGGCATTGCCTTGGGCGGCGCAGCTCGGGAAGGAGCAGGCAAGACCTTGTTCCCCAGGTCGGTGACGTCTTCGCTGAGATCGATGAGGGTCTTATCCTGGCGGACCCTCTCTCTGGTCTGCTGCAAGATCTCTTCCACGGAGGAATCCGGCTCGTTGATGGGGAGGAGCGGTTCACACGCAATGTCTGGATCGTCAGGATCATTGATGACAATGGTGTCAACGCCGCGCTCCTTCTCAATCTCGACGGCCTGCTCATCATCGAGCTGGCCTTCGACCGAGTCGAGTGCCTCCAACAACCTCCTCACACGAGGGTTGTTCGCGTCGAAGAGGATCACCTTGTCATCATCGCCGCCAGACCCGTCAGGGTTGAGGTAAGCCCGGTCGTCCTCGGTGATCGGGACTGCACCCATCTCCGGGCGGTCTTCGTCCGATGGTCTTGGTGCCTTCCGGACAGCCACGCGAAGTCATCAATCTTGGGCCTCACCATGTCAGTGCACGGGGGAACCGTAAGGGATAACTCCGGCCGGGCCAAGTGGAAGTGATTGTTGAAGATCTGGCTTCGCTGATTTGCAAGGAAGTCCTCCCGCATCATGAAGATTTGCCGACCCGTCAGGGTGGTGGAGATGAGCGCTCGCCACCACTCCGTGGCAGCTTGGAAGTTGTCCTGCGAGGCCACCATGTGATACTTGTCGTAACGGACCGTGCCATAAAGAAGCGCGTAAGGGTCGACGACCCTAACGCCGTTCGCCACCAGGTAGTCGGTGTGCTTCTTCATCTCCCTGTCGTACTCCCAATCCAGCCCGTAGGCCTGGGCGACAGTGCCGGCGACAACGGTCAACGACCTGACACAATGATGTCCAGCCAACGCAACAACCTTCCGGAGCGCGGTTTCCACCTTGGCCAACTGCTTGACGGGCCAGTGCTCCGCTTTGCGAACTTGCTCTTCAGTTTGTTTAATCCAGGGCGACACAAGGTGCCACGTGTAGCCCTGATACCCATACGGGCCATGGACGTCGTTCCCCGCCCAACT